TCCGCCGCTGCCTGGCGGCCCTTGCTCCCGCCGGCGACCATGGCGACCCACAAGCTGTCCTCCTCTGAGCATCCTCACCAACCAGCTCTCTCTACATCACGCTTGTAACCATGCTGCCTTCCCAGCACCAAGCTGTATTGTACATCCAATACAACATGTATACAGAGAGCACATTGTGAGTTTCCTTTCACCAACCCATCCTGAGTGAACACCAAACATCCAATACCCCATAAATGGTGACCCCCGGAGATTCGCACTCACACAGGACGGAGGAGAAACAGATCACGCTCCCAGTCTTCAAGCAACATGGAAGACTGGCTTATCCACCCAGAGGCAGCTCTCATCGGCTCTACAGCTACTGTCTCTACACCGCAGGTTAGACACCCTAGAGCAGCACTGCTTCTCTAAGCAGACACCAACTCCTCTTCCTGCCCCAAGCACACCCGTCCTGCCTCAGACGCCGCCCTGGCCCAGCAGTACCCCCTGCCGCTTTTCCTGACGCGGCCCCTGCTTCTGAGTGCGGACCCACACACCCCTCTTTTCTCCCTCAGGTACTCCCTGCTACTGTCCTGCACCCTGCTACTGTCGTGGACCCAGCTGCTGTCACGAGCCCTCATCCGCTTCTGCTGACACAGCCCTTGCTCCTGACCCAGGCCCACACACCCCAGCAGGCGCATCTGACAACTCTGTACCTGTCGCGAGGGAAGCACAACATTCATCGCCTCCACACACCCTCTTTCTCTCTATCTTCTCCCACAGATATTGTGTATCTAGACAGTTGTCTCTAGCGACAGGCTCATCCACGCCATCGCCGTTGTCTCACATGAGGCATGCACTGCCCGTTCTGCCTCACATGTGCTATGCAACCCTGCAGACAACAAGTCTCCTACACCACCTGGAGGGAAGGGGGAGTATTGTAGTGGATTTCTCCCCTACAAACGCTGTTTGTCGCTGCATAGCCGACCCCACGAATTCCCCTGTGTATGCCTCGTGGTCTGGGTCAACCAGCGCCGCCCACGGAGCGGGGGTCAACTACTAAGCCACGCCAACCCCCGCTATTTAAGACCTGACCTCGTGGTGATCTGTCTCTTTCTACCTACACCAACCAGCCAGCAACACCTCCTCCTCCTCCGCCTGCCTGGCGGCCCTCGCTCCCGCCGGAGAGCATGGCGACCCATAAGCTGGTCCTCCTCTGAGCATCCTCACCAACCAGCTCTCTCTTCTTCTAGCTACAGCCGCAGCAAGCTACACCTCCTCCTCCGCCGCTGTCTGGCGGCCCTCGCTCCCGCCGGCAACCATGGCGACCCACAAGCTGTCCTCCTCTGAGCATCCTCACCAACCAGCTCTCTCTACATCACGCTTGTAACCATGCTGCCTTCCCAGCACCAAGCTGCATTGTACATCCAATACAACATGTATACAGAGAGCACATTGTGAGTTTCCTTTCTCCATCCCATCCTGAGTGTGAACCCAAACATACCATACCCCACAGTACACCTCGGACCGGAATTCCCCACGTACATCAGAGCAGGCCACACAGGATACCCAGATCTCGTGTTAACAAATCAACACCACCACCTAAACATACTACTCGAACCCGGCCCAATATCCACTAGTGATCATCTCCCTATCATAGCCACACTCTCCACAGCCCCAATACAGATCCCGGCCAGGCTAAGATTCAACTATAACCGAGCTAACTGGGAAAACTTCAAACAAGAATTAAATAACCCGCAACCCATACAATTACACAACGGGCATACTTCTCTAATAGACCAATCACTGGATATATGGTATGAGCACGTCAGCCAGGCCATGGAACACAACATACCCAAGACCACTTACCGAACATTACCACACCCTCAATACACACACCAATCAAGAATCATACAGACACAATTTAACAACCTAATTAAACTAATCACACAGCAAGGATGGACACCGGAACGCAGAAACATATGCAACATAATACACGAACAACTAAAAAAGATATCAAAAGAAGCATACAACAGGAACTGGCAGAAGCTGATTTCAGAAACGGAAGGGAACTACCATAAACCGAACCAGTTCTGGCAGAAAATAGAGCACTTAATGGGAACCTCAAGCAACGAGTCAAACTATATAATAAATAGTAATCAAGTCAAATTAACAGAACCAACCGAACAAGAACCGGAATTTAGATCTTTCTGGAGTAAGATTTTTCAAATCACCAACGAAGAAAACTTAAACTTTTGCATGACCACAGAGAGGGAAGTATCCAACCTTATGTCGCAAATAACCCATATTTGGCAACCGAGACCCACGATCGACCTGAATACACTGGATGACATGTCCCCACTAAACAAACCAATCACGGTGGACGAAATAGTAAGAACAATCAATAGCTTTAAGAACAAGGCTCCTGGAGACAGTAAAATAAATAAACTCATTTTACAGCAATTACCAAGCAACATGGTACTTCTACTAAGAATTATATTCAATGCATCCATAGCTTCAGGCTACTACCCAAAGAAATTCAAGACAGCAATTATCAGACTGATACCAAAACCGGGAAAAGCCCCCACAGCAGTAGAAAACTACAGACCAATCTCCCTCTTAGAAACACCGGGAAAAACTTTGGAAAAAATAATTAACCAACGATTAAGAACACACCTGGAACTGGAATACAAATACAACCCTAGACAACACGGATTCAGGAAACACAGAGGAACAAACACAGCCATAGCCCTTATATACGAAAGTATTGCAAACGCAAGGCATAATAGAGAACAGTGCAACATAGTTTTAAGGGATGTGGCAAAAACGTTCGATAAGGTCTGGCACTTGGGACTTAAATATAAAATAACCAATCAAGAACTCCCTAACAACTTCACTTCTCTACTGTGTAATTTCTTAGACAATAGAGAAGCACACATTATAATAGGCAATCACAAAGGCCCAAGCTTCAGACTTTATAGTGGAGTACCACAAGGAAGTAATTTATCCTCAACTCTTTACACAATTTACACTTCAGACATGCCGCCACCAATTCACGGTGAATACATCGCATATGCTGATGATGTCACCCAGATCATCCGCCATCCAGGTAAGGCCAAACAGATGATGGCATTAAAAACAGCTCACGCCATAATACAAATAAATAATTACGAGAAGAAATGGAAAATAAAAACTAATACACAGAAACTAAATATCATACATATTTCAAGGATAAACCCAGCACCAATCACAGTAAACAACGAAGAAATACAATACTCAAACGAAGGAAAAATACTGGGGCTAACAATAACAAGAACAGGAATAAATAAACACATAACAGAGCGCAATAGACTAGCCCAAATACAGCTTACCAAATTAAGAAGATTCGGTAAAATGGAAGAGAAAATACAACTACACTTATTTAAAGCACTTGTCCGGCCCCATCTTGAATACCCGCCAATACCAAAAACACGATCAGCCTTACCAACCAATTAAAACTTCAGGCAACACAAAACAAAGCCATCCGCAGAGCCTCCAAACAAAGTCCCCCATACATAACCAAAATTAAAGAGCTTCACGAAAAATACAATATTTTACCACTGAAATAAGAACATACAGCCAAGCACAGGCAGTATGGTACAAACTAGAAGTAATGGAAGACGAAATATACCATCGACTAAAAACAGAGGACACCAGAAGATCACACAGCCGGTGGCCAAAAAGCCTTCTCCATAACCCTCAAGAGCCAGAACTATTGTACACTAAATAGTACACAAAAGATGAGAGTATTCTACTAGTTACACAAGGACCTAGCAGACCTCTCCAGCTTACACAATTATATACCACAGCATAAATAACTTCTTGATGCCAATAAGATAAAGATGAGAGTTTTCTACTAGTTACACAAGGACCTAGTAGACCTCTCCAACTAACACATTAACAAACAACACCTTGCTAGCTAGCTTAGCCTCCTCCCTCCCCCTGTTCCCTTGAGCTCGGGTGACCTCTTAGTGCGGCCTTCACCACAGCCAATCAAATCGTCTCTGCTAGGTGGATAGCCCACCTGCTCTTATTCTCTACTGCTTTACTTCCCGTTTCATAACTTTCCTTCTACCTTACCTCTTCTCTCCCTTCCCATGGCAAGCCATTGTCATTTTATCTCCATTGTCATCATCACCATCACCTACCTCTCTCTTCTTCTAGCTACAGCCGCAGCAAGCAACACCAACCTATCTCCTCCGCCTGCCTGGCGGCCCTCGCTCCAGCCGGCGAGCATGGCGACCAACAAGCTGTCCTCCTCTGAGCACCCTCACCAACCAGCTCTCTCGACTCAACGCTTGTAACCATGCTGCCTTCCCAGCACCAAGCTGCATTGTACATCCAATACAACATGTATACAGAGAGCACATTGTGAGTTTTCTTTCTCCATCCCATCCTGAGTGTGAACCCCAAACAACCCATTACCCCCACAACCTCTATTACCTTTTAATATCAGTCAGTCTACATATGAACAATAGGATGCAAAATGAAAAAAAAGTGTTAGTGAATTATTTATGTATATATTTAGCGCTATAATTAAAATATTTTAAACAAATTTTGATCTTCTATTTATATATTATAACCATTGGCACGCAAAATAATGAAAATGTGTAATACAGTATGCAAGTATTCGGCTCAATAAATTCATGTATATTTTGTTTGTGCAGATTAAATATACCCCTGAAACCCTTCTAGTAAGACTTGCTTCTCTATTGGTGGTTTCTGTAGTTATACCATGTTGGCTTCTCACTCAAATATTTGGACCCCCCCCCTCCCAGTTTCTGGGTGTGCCCCTGATTTGGAGTGGGGTAACCTGTTGGAAAAATTTATAGAACATTTGATTTATTTAAGGAAATAAACCTGTATAATTTATATCCTAATGCATTTTTCACTAAGTGGTTTTAACATGTAAAGTATTGACGTGGAAGTTCATGTATCCAGACGCGTATTATACATGTCTCAGGCTGTCTGCCTTCTGGTTGTGAGTGGCGTCCTGTGGGCTGCCTGGCACTAACTCACAGTTGCACGCACGCAGTACGCAGTTATCGTTCTGTGCCGGTCTCTCTACCGATAATATCCTGTCAACGCTCATTCATAACCTCTCGTAAGTAAAGTATAACTCTCGATTTGATTATTTCCTGTAAGGTGCGATAGTAAAGTGTAGTGTGTGTGATAGTTTATAAAGTGAAGTGTGTGATAGTGAAGTGTGGTACATTATGTCAGGGTATAATGTTAATATTGTAATTTGCTCCCTCAGAAGGATCAGACACTGCAACGACACGTTGAAGGTTAACTTTTGAGCAATTATTATTACATTACTAAGGTTTTATTTTAGATTGAAGTGTATCGGTCGGGTTATTTAAAGGAAAATTTTGGTGCCACTGAAAGCGAGGGTAATAGACGCCTTGTTTATTGTACTGTTGTGAGGTTATTGCCTGTCGGAGGGACTGTATTAACAGAGTGTTAGATATATATATATATCTATCTATCTATCCATCCATCCATCCATCCATCCATCCATCCATCCATCCATCCATCTATCTATCTATCTATCTATCTATCTATCTATCTATCTATCTATCTATCTATCTATCTATCTATCTATCTATCTATCTATCTATCTATCTGTCTGTCTGTCTGTCTGTCTGTCTGTCTGTCTGTCTATGTATGTATGTATGTATGTATGTATGTATGTATGTATGTATGTATGTATGTATGTATGTATGTATGTATGTATGTATGTATGTATGTATGTATTAAATCACACAGGAAAAAGGGAAACAATGGAGCACCTTAGCTTTCGTCTTTATTCAAGACATCTTCAGAGGCAACTGAATTACAAGGACTGATAGAGGATTGTGTACAGAGGGTGACCTTACAAAACATGAAGTCAGGTCAAAAACATGACATCCACTAATCCACACACCAACACCACGGCAAACATAAGAGGAGCTTAAAAGAAAGGGCAACGTAACTATTATATAGTCTAATTACTTTTATCCTCTTCACCACTGGTCGGCTCGTTAGCCTCTAAAAATGTCTTGAATAATGACGAAAGCTAAGGTGCTCCATTGTTTCCCCTTTTTCTGTGTGATATATATATATATATATATATATATATATATATATATATATATATATATATATATATATATATATATATATATATATATATATATATATATATATATATATATAACCATTACAACCATTAGGCAACAAAATACCCCTCTGAGTAAAGTACAGTACGGTACACTTAGGATTGCATGCCAACCATTTTATCCTCATACTAACAATCCCAAGCAAATTCTGTATAAGAAGCAATAGAACCATGTACAGTAAGTCCTCACTTAACGTCGTGATTCCGTTCCTGAAAACTGCAACATTAACAGAATCAATTTTCCCCTGAAGAAATACCCGGGAGATAAAATACAGGAGTTACGTTCCTGAGCCTTTCTTTGCCCCATCAAATTCATTACACATACAGAAATTCAATGGCATTTTTATAGAAAATAGTATACAGTATATATACTGTATATAAGACTAAATCACTTTGCATTGTACTCACTGATGGGTGGAGGTGATGGAGCGAATGTGTGGTGGGTAGTGGAGCGGAGGAGGCGGGAGAGGGAGGAGAGTGGCGAGTCATTGAGACCCGGCGAGTGGCTCCTCCTCCCAGTTTAAAACCTCCATTTTCGTAGCAAGGCTAATGGTCTTATGCTGCTTCTTCACAACACTAGCATCAGTAGCACTTGATAGGCACTTGCAGGCCATTTCGAATTGTTCGAGTACATTATTAAGAGCACAAACACTGTGGAAGCCTAACAAAGACTGACGATGCTTGGGGACGTTGTGATGTTCCGTGAGTGCCTCTCGCTGCAAGACAAGAGGGGGCGATGCTCCGTAAAAAGTAGTCTGTGACGACGCTAAAAATGACGTTATATTGAGTCGTCGGGACGTTAACCGAATTATTGGTATCTAAAGAGTAGCGACGTTATAACAAAACTTTATCAGGGGGAAACGTTAAAAGGGACTTACTGTAATATATGTCTGCTGGGAAGTGAAAGTTAATTGAGCTTGAGCCTCGTTTTATTGCAAGCACACTTGCGTCGAGGTGAGCAGAAGTCCAGGGGTAAAGACTTGCCACTCTCACTGGCTCCTAGTGGCTATAACTTGTTGAGCCAACAGAGATCCTATGTACTGTATAGGTTTATAATTTCAGTAAATTTTTAGTGTGTAGCTGCAGCCATACACAGTTGTCTGATGAACGGATTCACTTATAAAAAATATATATTTTTAAATCTGTCATAGTTGGGATATTTGCATAAATCTGACAGACAAGGGTGGAGTTTTGTTTCTATAATTGGACCATTTTCATTGGGGTTAATATATATCTAATATCTTGGTCAATCCTTCTATGTTATTTCTATTCAATAATTTGAGAAAGGCATTGAGCATCATAGTCAAATGTAGTGAGCATCTGTAAATATCTGCTACATGTATATGACCTGTGTTTGACTTACCAATTTTGGTGAGGGGCACACGTTATCTTTAGTTTATGTCTACTTTCAGGCAAACGGTGTGAGATCCAATTGGTATAGTTATGGAAGCGCCTGAAGAAAATGCCAATACTACTGAAGCTAAGGAAACACCAGAAGATAATGCCAATACTAGTGAAGCCAAGGAAACACCAGAAGATAATAACCATACTAGTGAAGCCAAGGCAACACCAGAAGATAAAGACCATATTAGTGAAGTCAAGGTAACACCAGAAGATAAAGACCATACTAGTGAAGTCAAGGCAACACCAGAAGATAAAGACCATACTAGTGAAGTCAAGGTAACACCAGAAGATAAAGACCATACTAGTGAAGCCAAGGCAACACTAGAAGATAAAGACCATACTAGTGAAGTCAAGGTAACACCAGAAGATAAAGACCATACTAGTGAAGTCAAGGTAACACCAGAAGATAATTTATATACAAGCAAAGACAAGGTAACACCAGTAGACCCTACTTTTTACTCCCGTCTGGAAGCTTTCAAACTCTCTGAGAGTAACCTGAGTCGCTTCAACTATCCACGGCCACATAAACTTCAGCATGACAAAGCTGAACTGCATAACTTGGCTGATCAACTAAGCTTCTACAAAGTTATCCCAGGACCAAACAAACGGACATGTAAGCGCTGTGAATTAACATATAGTGTTCAGAATAATGGACGCCCTGCTTTAAAGGTAGAGTGTGTGTACCATATGCGCAGGTTGGCCAAGACCAGGAGGCCATTTTACCCCTGTTGTAGTGGAAAAATCTCCTCAAGACCATGCAAGAGGGCACCACTGCATGTCACCTCTGATATAAATCCTAATAATCTGCATGGTTTCTTAAATATCCAACTAAATAATAAGGTATCTGAGCCAGGTGTGTATGCCCTAGACTGTGAGATGATTTTCACTACAGAGGGGATGGATGTGGCCGCCATCTCTGTGGTGGACTCTGAATGCGAGGTGGTGTATGAGACGCTGGTAGTGCCCAACGCTCCCATATTGGACTATAACACAGAATTTTCAGAACTCACCGAGAAACAGTTCCAAAAAGTCACGACACGACTAACGGATGTCCATGCCAAATTTCTCACGCTGTTTGGGAGTAAAACCATCCTAGTTGGTCATGGACTTGAAAATGACCTCATTAGGCTGAAAGTGATGCATAACCATATTGTGGATACCTGCCATCTTTATCCGCATCCAAAGGGGCTACCTTTCCGCCGTTCTCTGTTTCACCTGAAGAATGATTATCTGTCTTCCACCACATTTGTCTCGGGACTTAAATGTCGTGGTGATGCTGTGGCCTGCATGAAATTAGCCCTTCGTAAGTGTGAGGTCAACCCATTTGAAAAAAGGTCTTGGAAAATTCTAAAAACATTTTAGAACATCCTGATACTTGATAAATAAAGAAGGAAGATGGGTACAGGAAATAGAGCCATTACTGTAGCTGAAATTTAAACTTAGTGGTGACTGTAAGAGGAAGTTTATTGACTGGAGTTTAGCACTAAACTACCATCAATCTCTTCACTAACTACTGTAATGAGTATCATCTCTCCTTGCATATTTAATTATTATCAAGCAACTATTCTCAGTTCACATGTGGAGTTAATATCATTATCTCCAATCTATTCTCTGTGTCTTATCACAAATAGAATTATTATCAATGCCATCTCTTGATACTTTACCTTACTTTTTAAAATTACCCATATTGTACAAAAGTGGTCTCTGAGGGTTTTAAATGTACCCAGGTAATAATAATAATGTTTACTCAGTCACAAGTTGAAAATTTTTTAAGTAAATGCATAATACAGTACATATAATTATATGTTAATGTTAACTAATTACTGATTAAACACTTAATTTTCATCAATTATGCAATATTCTTCAAATAAGTACTGTATTAGTATCACAGCTAATAATAATCCCTTATGTACAAGTGCAGTATTTTTAGTGTTTGATACAATACTTTTTTTTTCAATTATGCACAACTACAGTACTCACTAATTTGGTTTAAAGTCAATAATAAAGTCACTGTTGCTGAAAATAGAGTTTTAACTTTTTCACATTATATATATAAAATACCTGTGGATTACCAGATAGTTCGGAGGATTGGGTATAATGTGTGTGTGTGTTTGTGTACACATGCATGTGTTTGCATGTGTACACATGTATTCTCCTAGGTTAGGGAGGTATGTTGAGCATGGGGGAAAATACTTTGGTGTGTTACTAATACTGTAGTATGAAGGAAGGATTTATACCCTACAATTGTTATTAACATTTAACTATTAGTATATTGCACTGTACTAACAATTACCTATATTAATGTATAAAGGAATTGTTAGAATCTCTTAAAAAAAACAATGTTACCTAAAAGAGATGGAAGTTACCTCACTGTGGTAATTTAACTTCTATGGTGGGGTACAGTTATTAGGTACTGTACTTTGGTAAAAATAAAAAAAATTATAGAACCTCCATCATCCCACTTTTTTGTAACTGTGAATAATAAAATTAGTTTATGAACTGTAAATATGGTTCCATTACTCTTATGATCCAATTGGAATCAGGTGAGGTTGTGTTGAAGGCACCCACAAGAAAAAAGGAGTAAAGACTCATAAAAGATTGGGAACCGCTTTCTTAAGTGTTCAGTTCATTACAGGGTACAGTACTTGTGTGCTTGTTAAAGTTCTTGTAATAAGTTGGTGATATGTTTGTACTGTAGAGGTATATAACTTTACATTGTCCTAATTCTTATAATAATAATACAGTAAATATGATTTATATTTTTGTTGTATGATGATACACTTTTTTCTTAAAATTTTTATAATGTGTTGTCTCCTGTGCAAAATAAAATACGTATGTTAATAACCTGTGTATTCAACTATTGTACTGTACTTGAGTTTTCAAGGCATTCCTTATACAGTGACTACAGTACAGTACTTTTATTGTTTGGTATTCAGGAAGGTGCTGAGAGAACAAGATACAGTGGGGTATGCTATAACGAATCTAATTGGTTCTAGAACCTTGTTCGTTATAGCATTCGTTCGTTATAGGATTAATCCGTTCCAGGCCCCCAAATACAACCACTTAACACTGAAAAATATAATATTAAATTGTAAAAATTGTAAAAAGTGCATAAATATGCATCTAAACCCTTGAAATAAAGAATATCATTAATACTTGTAATACAGAAACAATAAATTAGTAAAAAAAAAAAAATTATAATGTTTGTTGTCGGAGTATTGTTCGTTATAGCATTATCAATTTTATAGGTAAAACCGTTCGTTATAGGAATATTCGTAGTAGGATCCGTTCGTTATAGCATACCCCACTGTACAGTGATATCTCCATTAGCCGGAACAATTGGTGCAGAGTACTTACGAGAATGAGAGATTTCCGGGTAACGAGATGACACTCAAAGCCCCCCAAAATTCCCCATCCCCGTAATTTTCCGGGTACCGGGATTTTTTTTTTTTGAAGTTCCAGATATTGCACATTACATTAGCTATCAAGCCTGCATAGAAATCCCCCATCCTCGGAATTTTTCCAGGTACAGTACCAGAATTTTCTAAGGGATCTTCCAGAATGAAGCATTATTTCATATTTCAAAGCAGGAAAAATCCCCCAACCCTGGAAAATTTTTCTCGGAATTTCTGGAAAATGTGCCCCTCGGAAAATTTTAATTCCAGCTATCGGAGAGTCCGGTTAAAAGGGATTCCGTCTACGGAGATATTACTAATATATATTTCTTTGACAATTCTGCACCTTATGGCTGTAACTCTTTCCATTATTTAGTTTGTCAGTATCTACACACCGTATATTAAAGTAACACTGACAATTAAAACGAGTTAACATATATACAGTACTGGCCATTTTAATTGGGTGCTGCTTCAGGATAGATTCTTCTGAACACTAAGTGTAACACCCAAGCAGTTTTTGTTGCAAAGTCTTTGAATTACAAGTTCGACATATGTACATTGGTATGAGTTCAGAAACCAGAGGTACAGTAATAGAACAAAGACCCAAAAGACTGCCAGGGCAACAAAGTCTTTTGAGCTCTATAATGAACACTGAAGAAATGTGTCACTTTTTATTTTGTGCTATGGATTTTTACAAGGTATAAAGGTAGTCTCATCTCCCTTACAATGTTTGTGCTCAATGTGTGTTTCACTTTAACAAAAAAGGCTTCAGCTTTGAACCATGTCATAGAAATACAAATAAGGTAATCAGAGTGCATAGTAAAATACTGTCCAGTATTTACTTATCCTTTTCACCATTTGTCAACTTCCTAGCTGGTTGGGTTGTTCGTATTTTCTCAGTCAAGCACTTTTGGCAAGCATTTGGCTTGTATAAGCTCTTGAATATACAATACAGTACCTGAATATGTTTCAGCGTTTGATGAAGTCTGGTCATAAATAAAAGCTCCACTGGAGGCCGTTATAACATTCTTTGGCAGCTTATTCAAAGAGTCCATAACTCTTACTCCAAAGAAGTTAGTTCTCATGGCTTTCTTTACTGATATTTTGTTTAATGTGAGGCAGTGACCTTTTGTGGAGTAGCCATCTGTAAACTGCTAATATTTAAATTTCACACAATCCAATTTTTTGTATGTGTCATCTTACATGAGATAATATATTACCATTTAGAAACATTGTCTTTGTATTAAAAGGTTAACCAGAACAAGAAGGCACTTTTCAGTATATATTGTAATCATACAACACATTTATACAGTACTATACATTCAATTTATAATCCTGTAATGGACTATAACCAACACTGAGAAGAGGCACTTTCTTAAGAGTAAACAATAATGTCTATATTCACTCTATACTCACCAAGGAAAAAAAAGAAAAAAGTGGGTTAAGGCAAGTATCCCAACAGCACTTGAGTCCCGTGCTTTATAAAAGTTCCAAATCTCCCTCAACTTAAAACCTATGAGTCAACCATCAAGAACCACTAGGCAATGGAATGTAACCTGAAGAACAGAAAGATCTCTACCTAGTAAAACCATAAGGGTCATATCGAGGTGCTCTGCCTGTAAATTTCTTCACTGTAAAATATATTTCTAGGAAACAATACTGTACTAGCATAGTAAACTAAGTGGAATAATTAAACCAAACCAATTTAAAAAAAACAATATACCATTCCACTGATACTGCAAAACTACGGGTCAGTCTACCTGAAGGTGACACAGTCTACTGGACACCAACTTGACCGAATCATTAAGATTGGATCCTACACTTCAGGTGCCTCAACTTTTAGGGGATCTACTCCTAATAGGTGCCAATCTGAATACCTGGAGCCGCTATTTGTGTAAGAAGTTATCCAATCATTGGATGAAATACACCAATAATGTAATTAATACTCCTTATTTCAGTATTAGCAGTCTTCACTACTAATGTGTTCGTATCAGGGAATGTACCAAGATGTGCAGTCACTGTCAATGAATTACAACTGTTTCATAATGCAAGAAATGGTAGCCTGTTGCAGTGGGAAACAGTACAGTGCCATATTGTAGAGTAGGAGATGATACCATGTCAATGGGTGGGTATTGTACCATAATGTCCAGTGGGAAATGGTATCATGCAGTGGAATAATGATTCCAAGTTGTTATATGGGGAATGGCAACATGTTGTAGAGTGGAGAATTATATTAAATCATGGCAGAAAGACCATTTCCATATTAAACATGATAAAATTTCTGAAAATAGCTGTCAACAAAAAATAAACTGTTTTATGACCATTTACCATAATTGTGTGGGTTAGCATGGTGTCCAGGTTGCCATCAGACAGTTATGAAGCAATTTTACAGCTGAATGCCCTTCCTGTCGCCAACCCACTATTACAAAGTGGAACTTGAGCATTATATGTAGGATTTTGAAGAGCCCTTTTAGCTGACAAGGCAGGGTGAGTATTCCCTGAGGTAATCAAATAAATATGCAAACTGCAACTGGAAAAGTCAGGAAGTCCTACAAGTATGCATAAAGTTGAAATTAACTTTCTGATGCATCAAAAAAGATAAACAGGGATTGACAGAACAAATGAAGAATTGTTCCCCAAATTTCTTTTCATTTTTGGTGTTCATTGAATGGTTGTGTAATAGATATAACCCCATTAAAATTAATGTCCACTCCATCATGTTTTGACAATAGTAATACATTATCTTTCCACCATACAGGTGTACTCCTCACTTCCAGAGGAAATGGTTTACCAAGAAAATATGGGTAATCATTTAAGAGAAAGATCACTGAACTATGATGGCTATTACTACTATATTCCAGGACCTTTTCTGCTGTAATAACAACATGCATTTCCTACAGAAACACTATTCTTCTAGAGTTGAGGAGTCCAGCTATGAAGTGGGAGGATATGCTGTGTATGAAGTCATTACTGTTATGGTCAAGACATAATAGGATGGAAATCATGGACCTAGCTGAATTTCAAATTAACACCGAGACTCCTGTAGTTTCGGTAAGGTTATTTTTTTATGTTATTATTATTTTTTTTACAAGGATTAGTCCACTCGGGCACAGGTCAATGACCCACATCAGGGCCTGGGGGGCAAAAATATTATAATTATAATTATAATTATAATAATAATAATAATAATAATAATAATAATAATAATAATCAGTAATAATAATAATAATAATAATAATAATAATAATATAATAATAATGATAACTACTATATTATTATTATTATCATTACAACAATTAATAAAATTAATAGCAAAAAAAATAATACTGTAATATATATATATATATATATATATATATATATATATATATATATATATATATATATATATATATATATATATATATATATATATATATATATATATATATATATATATACAATATTACCCCGCCTAACGCGGTTTCACTTAACGCGTTTTATCATATACGCGGTGCCTCGCCAGAGCTGAACTTTCACTTAACACGGATTTTTTCCACATATACGCGGTGAGTGTCCGGCTCGAGACGCTATTTTTAGATTTGCCCCACCCGCCACCCTGCCTGACTGCCTGTTTTAGCTCATAAAATTCATACAAATTACCCGGCCAGAATATAATTTACATTGCTGGAATTCTTATAATTTGGTGATCATTTTGAATATAAACATCATATATTTTGCATTAAACATACAATTTTTAGATAAAAATTTTTCTCTAGGTAACTATGTTATCTTTTGTGCAAAATATATGACATTTATATTCAAAATATTCCTGGTCTTACAAGGAATCCAGCAATGTCAATTATATTATCCTAACTTTAGTTTGAGGTATTATTTATTAAAATTTAGTGGTTATCCCACACATCTCCTTGGGACGGTTGGTGGGGGGTGGGGGGGAGGGAGGGACCGACCGACCACCATCTGTTACCAAGTGAAGAATTATTTTTTTTTTTATTAACTGAAGATATTTGTTTTAGCTCATAAAATTCATACAAATTACCCGGTCAGAATATAATTTACATTGCTGGAATTCTTATAATTTGGTGATCATTTTGAATATAAACAACATATATTTTGCATTAAACACAATTTTTAGATAAAAATTTTTCTCTAGGTAACTATGTTATCTTTTGTGCAAAATATATGACATTTATATTCAAAATATTCCTGGTCTTACAAGGAATCCAGCAATGTCAATTGTATTATCCTAACTTTAGTTTGAGGTATTATTTATTAAAATTTAGTGGTTTTCCCCCAAAAATTTCTCTGTAGTGTGAGAGGGGAGGGAGTTGAGTCCATTATTTGAATGGACATTAACTTGGCGACTGTATTTCTCTATTTCTCTTAAGTATTAATTGTGTGCATGTACCATCATAAAATTAAGATGTTATTTTTACTACAACATAGTTATGTGCCTTCAAAAAGTGGAGTTTGGGGGTCGGGCTGGTTTCTATTGGAATTAATCCCATATGTTCTGTTGTTCACTTAACGCGGATTTCACTTAACACGGGACCCTCTGGGTTCATTGACCGCGTTAAGTGGGGTACAACTGTATGTATATATATATATATATATATATATATATATATATATATATATATATATATATATATATATATATATATATATATATATATATATATATATATATATATATATATATATATATATATATATATATATATATATATATATATATATATATAATAATAATAATAATAACCATAAATAAATACAAAAACAAATAAAATAAATCAAGAGGGAGAAACGATACATTATGTATGTTGGGTTGTCCAAGTAAGAGACCCTGCAATTGTGTGTAAATGAGGCAGAAAGTCAGATCAGCAACCTGGGACTTGGTCAAAAAAATTTCGTGATGCTACATGGCAGCAGGGTCTACCATTAGACAACACATTATGCTTCCAATATCTTCCCAGGCAGTAGTACCTCCCTGTTTGGTAGCTACCTATATTCTCACACAAAATCGGTTAAGATACTTTCTGGAGGAGTAAGTGTACACATGTTACAAGCTCAGTCTCTAAACCTCAATATAAAGAAACAGAAGCACTTGTGAATGGGTGAATGGAAAGCAAATGAGAACAAATAAAAGAACACTAACAGCTGAGACAGATTGTACTACTGGAACATTTGTGTGAATAGAGAGTCTGAGACAGATTGTACTACTGGAGCATTTGTGTGAAAGATATATATATATATATATATATATATATATATATATATATATATATATATATATATATATATATATATATATATATATATATATATATATATATATATATATATATATATATATATATATATATATATATATATATATATATATATATATATATATATATATATATATATGTTTGTTTATTCAAGACATCTTCAGAGGCAACTGAAGATGTCTTGAATAAAGACGAAAGCTAAGGTGTTGTTTCCATTATCCCGTGATTTTATCAAGATTTATCTTATCCACGTTTCATTGTGATTTACATGAAAAAAAAAAAAAAAAAATACTGTATATATATATATATATATATATATATATATATATATATATATATATATATATATATATATATATATATATATATATATATATATATATATATATATATATATATATATATATATATATACACTAGAACATTTCTGTGAGAATAAAGAACAAGAATGGAGGACTGAAAGAAACACAAATATTTGGGAAAATCCTTCAAAGGAAACTCTAATATATACTGTAATGGGAATGAGCATATCAGAGGTACACAAGAAGATACACTGAAGGGATGGTAGCTGGAAACAGAATGACCTAAGTGGAAATAAATTATAAACTCGGATATATTTCATAACAAAATTTTAAAGGCTTTAAATTTTTTTCAATTTCTAGTACAGTACAGTATCTGTCAACTGAAAATCTACTTTACGAAAGAATTGAGCATCCTAAATATGTGAATGATGAGGAGTAAATTATGTGGTGATTGTAGGAGAACGATCACACACACACACACACACTGAAAGCTTATTGTAGACTTATAGTATTAACATTAAGAGTGATAGGGAATAATGAAGTACCCAGTAAGTTAGTGGACAGGTATTTACACTAACTAATAATATAACCAAACTGATACTACTGCATGCATTTCTTGGACACACGTTCATGATAGTATCCACTTTATGTAGTTATCCATTTTTACAGAAGCCTCTTGGTCCCAAACTTTTCGGTTGACAGATACTTTTACTCTACCATATTTAATTTTGCAGCATAAAAGATGGTAAAATGATTTTTAAAAATTACTAAAATAGACAAGAAATAAGTATAAACGTTGGATATGTGAGGTGGTCATAAGAGACATAATGAATATTAAAAAAAGATGATTACAATATTGTGTATACTGTATTGTTCTGTGTGCTACTGTACTCTCTGGCTTCATTCACTACTCATACATTACTGCAGCCTCAAGTTTGATACATTCTGCTAATACTGTATATTTGAATGATGATGAACAGACAGAACATGTGATTTATGATGAAAACAAACCAAACATTGTACAAATAAAACTCACACCAATCGATCAATCCTTACTTCTAAAAATGCTTGAATTCCATAAATGTTTTAGAAATAAAGATACACAAGCTGAGTTAGGAGTTTGTTTACAATTACTTGAAGGTGTAATACCATTCAACAACAATAACATGAATATCATCGATAATAGCTTAATAATTTGTTTTCCTTATAATGGGAGCCCATCAATATACATACAGTACACATGTTGCTGTAACCAATTACTGTACTGTATACAAGTATCAACAAAACAGTACTGAGCACACAACACAAAAATAAAATCAATATACATTCTACATTCATTAACTCATTTCTTCCAAGACCATTATGTACAAGTTTTCTTAAAAAAAAAAAAAAAAAAAAAAAAATTATATATATATATATATATATATATATATATATATATATATATATATATATATATATATATATATATATATATATATATATATATATATATATATATATATATATATATATATATATATATATATATATATATATATATAGCACCCATGTCCCCATTAGTAATTATATTTTGCCACCTATATACAGAAGTCATTTTCATATTGTCAAGGAATATTTTTCCCCCATAAACACTACAGCCTGAGCTCCTAGTGGCCTTTATTTGCAGATCCAAAACATATTGCATCTACTGTTATTATATGTTTTTAATTTTCCCTTTTAGTCTTCATAAATTACAGTCTGAGGCAATGCATTCTATTCACAGGTTACAAGCAAATTTCACTTTAGTGCAAGAAGGTAGCTAGTGCTTCACATGTGCAATTGCTAAATACAAATACTGTACTGTACCGTATATTGTATTTCTTTATATTTTTTTTATTGGAAATACATTAATCATTACTATGAAGATAAGAGAATATGAAAGACAAAGTAAATTTTATGGATCAGTTTCCTGGTTACAGTTATATTGACCATGTGAATAGTTAATTCTTTGCCTCATTTACAAACAGTCAAATATCCAGTCACACATCACAGTCAAGTGTAACAGCACTTTCTCTTGACTACATGTTTAATAATTTGCTTAATAGATGGATTGATAATGAAATCCTATTTTATGTTTGAGCCTAGAAGTTAGCAGCCCATGTTCTGTGCTCAACAAACAATTGGTCTAGTTCCAGAAGACCGGAATGCTTGTGGCCAGGACTAATTGTACGAGGAGTCTGTCTTCCCTTACTACAACCAATGGCCAGAAAAGTACAGTACTGTAGAAGCAAAAGATTTCCCTCAATTAAACTAGAGGAAGGAAACCTGATGAGTGCGTGATGTCAAATGATCCAAGGCAAACCTTTCTTTTAATTTTGAGGCAGCTATGAAGGTTTTCAGGTGTTAAAACCCAATTAATTCCTGGGAGACATTCATGTTAATCTGTGAGAGGAAGGGATTTCTGAGGCACCTATGGTAGTTCTGGGTTCAACCATAAAACTAAAATCCAGGAAGAAACCTTCACTTATGCACAGTCACCCTTCACTGGATGCCTCGTACAACAGAATCCAGCTAGAAATAGATGATACTAAATTATCCAAGTGCTAATGTGACCCTGTACCCCAGAAATTAAGTCTGTTATTAAACAAATTCTTAATCAAATTCCTCTTTTCTCTCTAGTTTGAAATCATAATAAAAATATATGAAACTAATTACATCCAGAAGAAAAAAAAGGAATACAGTACTGTACTAAACTGATCTGTGCTCTGAGACTCTGAGACCTCATTCATATACTCAGGTGTAACAGCAGGCTCCTCTGTGCATACAGAACACTATACGACAGGGGTTCTTAACCTGGGGTCATTGGACCCCCAAGGGGTCCATGGATGGGCTTCAGGGGGTCCATGAAGGTCAGATAAAAATTTAACATTTATATTCAAGCCAAACAACAACAACCTTCTCATTGAAATGAACTTTTGAGCAGAATTAAAGTTTTGTTTTGTTTAATTTGCACAAGATGCTTGTATTTCATTTTTGTATGGAGTGGCCATTAATTTTTGCATAAAAAAGTGTGAAACTTAATTCTTTGTTAAGATTGTTTACTTTATTCATACTTTGTGTATGTCATACACTGTATGAGGCAATGAATTTTTAATAAAATAAAGTATATTCATTGCATGCAAAGTTGTGTTTATGTTCTTATGTGCATTTTTCTAGGGAGGGGGTCCATAGCTTTCACCAGATTCCCAAAGGGGTCTGTGACTCAAAAAAGGTTAAGAACCACTGCTATACGAGGTAAAAATTAGTTCAAAATCCTGTCTTAAACTGCTATTTTAAATAGCACTTGACTGTACACTGCACGTTTCTCAGCAACTATTTAAACTGTTTTCACCAAGTCTTGAATCTTTTACATCGGAGAGAAATATATTACAAACCTCTTCAGGAGAACCTCAGTATAGATCTACAGATTCAGAAAGAGCTGCTCCCTCCCTTCAGGCCTGACAGAGACACCAGCCCTAATGTTGACCTTGAACTCCTTAGGGAAACCCCTCAATAAGGATAAGAAGACTGAGAAGGTTAAACCTATTAAATGTGAGAGGATAATGTCTCACTTCAGAGACTCTGTTACTTGAACCCTCCCCTGAAAGATCTGCAGCCCAGAGAAAAGATAACTGTCTAACTTATCCAACTGTTTCTTGTCAAACATTTTGGGAGAGAGTAAGTTTAGTCATAATCTATATTTTGGGAGAAAGCAATATGATCTAATTGTTCCAAGTGATTGATCCAATCTGCTATCAACCACTCAGCAGGTCCTGTGAATAGTTCCTTAAGTTTTTATAAAGCAACACAAGTACATTAATATACTTCAAAAAGGAAATATTAAATGGAGACCCATTTAAATATTATAGCAGAGATCTTAGCAAGCTCCCCCAAACCATCTCTATAATACAAATTCATATAATTTCATTTCAGAAAATACCAGAGACTTTCCCTCAAACTGCAGGGCTGACCCGGCTGGGCCACAGAAACATACATCATGAAAAGACAAACTGGATTAAAGTACCTTCTATTTAATATACAAATGCCTTGGCACAAGAGTGGGGGCTGATGGACCCCATTAGGTTCATCACTTGTAACCAGACTGGATTGTTAACGAACTATAACTGAGACCTGTAATTTTGTGAAATGCACTTACAGTATCTACAAACCCATTATAAGGATAGCACAGTGAGACTACCTGTTTGGGTGGAAGGCATAACCAGGATAAACTAACTGAGGTTGATACCAGAAAACCATCATAGCTGATCCAAGAAGATAGATGAGGTACAGGTATGTTATCAAGTGATCATTGAGCTTCCTCCCTCTGGTATAATAATGGAAAAAACTTTATTTCTACTATCCTCTTCACGGCAAGAGTTGTAGTAGGAAAGAGCAGACTGATTGTTGATTATGTCCCAGCCATTAAACGTGCTGCCGAGTAAAGGGCGACCAACTATAACTATTATGTTACCAACTTCCAATACTAGAGTTCCTGGGTCTCTTGCATAAGTGAAAGTGGGAGGCAGGAGGCTTCCACATGACTCCGGCTGGGGTTACCAATGATATAAGGTGAAATGCATATGTGAGCATACATTCCAATGCATTCAATGATCCAGTCATGGGCCACACAAACCTTTTCGTATTTTTTCAAAGTTTCTAAAAGAATTAAGAAATATTTCATAAATATATTTTGCTTTATATGCAAGTCAAATTAATATAAGCAACGTATAAATCAATAACGTGTTCATGCTGTACAGCATTATTGTATCAGTACTCAAGTTTTGAAATACAGGTAGGGTGTGTAAAATGATGATAAACACATAATTTTTTTTTTAAGTTTCATTACATTGCATAAGACTAAAATTTAGTAACAGATATAAAAATAATAATATACTAACCTTCAGGATGATGACTGCCATCAGTCTGAACAATAATGAGCTTCATTGATCGATTATTTTCACTGAATTTGAGAGGCGAATCAACTATTTGGGCTCCACACAGTTTTATTAGTTCCTGTTGGTTAAAGTATTACTGTAAAATGATTGAATGATTGGGTAAAATATCTGGTGTTGTAGCCTGTGGCCAAATGAAGGGATAAATGTCAAAGTTATTATGGGTGAGACATCTGAGATAAGTTACCTAGTTATACACACACAAGGCAGAGACACTGAGGATATAGAAACATACATAATTGAACATAATAATAATTTTAATACCCAGGTTAACAATCCCTTATCCGAAATCCTTGGGGCCAGAGGAATTTCGAATTTCGGAATTTTTCGGTTTTCAGAATGGTTAGTTTTTTTTTTTTTTTTTTAATGTGTATTAGCCCACGCGGGCATAGATCACTGACCCACATCAGGGCCTGGGGGGGAATATAATAAAATTATAATAATAATAATAATAATAATAATTCATAGGTCTAGGTCGTGTTTCTCACTTTTGATCTTTTTTCTTTCTTGTATTTATTATTATTATTATTATTTTATTATTACAGTACTCCTGTATTATTGTTATTTTTATTAATTTTATTATTATATATTATTATTATTAATGATATCCTATTATTTTATTTTGGTGTATTTTTATTAACAGTTCTATTTACGATGAATAATTAGTATTATTATTATAATTATTATTACTATTACATTTTCGCCCCCCAGGCCCTGATGTGGGTCAGTGATCTATGCCCGCGTGGACTAATCCCTGTTTAAAAAAAAAAAAAAAAAAAAAAAAAAAAAAAAAAAAAAAAAAAAAAAAAAAAAAAAACGCCCCACACAAAAACTTTCGGTTTTCGGAATTTCGGATAAAGGGTTGTCAACCTGTATAGGTGTTATGTTATCAAGCAAGAAATCTTAGCCTTGAGATTAAAACTTTTGTGTCATACCCTGAATTGTTGAATGGTAACATCAACAAACGGAGGCATGACATAGAACTCGCAGTTAGTGAAGAGAGGGATGAGTTTAGTTCGCCCTTTGTTTGGTCCTGGAACTCCTGTACAGTCTATTACCTCATAGTCCTCCTGTAAATAGCAAGACTTTGATCACATCACATAAATTATATACTTTTAATTAACTTAAAATGACCTAGACATTAAAAGCTTCACAAATACTAATGATTGGGATCAGCCAGCCAGCCAGTCCTGGATAACCAGACACACACTTCCAAGAGAGGAGATAAAGGGCTGCCTTTTCCTTTCCTCTACTAACAGCTCTCCTCCTAAGCTGTAACTACACTTCGGTCTCTCTACATTCTGTCTATTTTTTTAATCTTCTTGGGACAACAACCCATTTTAATGCAATGACACAACAAATAAGGTCACACAAAAGAATGTGGAGAATTCTTCTGCAAACTTATACAGTTCTGTTTAGTTTAGTTGAGTATTGCTTCTGGATCTTCAACCTTTATGAAGTGGGTGTGAGGAGCAATGATACTGATGTCAGAGAGTCCGCTCTGTGGCAGCAGCGGCAGTGGTGGCGATGCTTGTTGTTGTACATGTAGTTGTTTTCATATATGTATATTGCAGATATATATACAGTAAGTAACCTTTATTATAGCTGTTTTAATTTTACTACTGAGGTGAAAATATGAATTGAGGAAATATATATACAGTATATATATATATGCTCTGAAAACATAACATGCATCAGAATTTACTCACATAAGTTGGTGGCGAAGCCAAGCAAACAAGCCCAGTGAATGATAAATGAATTGCACATTGTACTTGTTATTGAACAGGACAGGACACAGAATTACAGATGCCATCCATGCAAAACTAAGCTTTGATATCATCAATGTCATTTTATGTGGGTTAGCCGAGATTACATGATGGTAACTCTCCATGTTGCTTAGTCTCTTGCAACCTCTCTTGTCAGGTTCTTCTTTATTGTAAGGTAATTTGTAACAGGTTGTATTCAAACAAAGAAATCGTACCTTGTCAAAGTAAACATAATTTTTTAGACATAAATTAAAAATGTACAGGAGATGGACATGATCTACCATACTGTTCCTGGTAGAGAGCAAAGGTACATAACCAGTGTAGGCAATCATGCAGACAATGGTAGCATCATCCTGGTTGATAAGAGAGGAACATAAATTCTTGTTCATACACGAACCTCTGGGAGAAGTTTCTTTGTGGAGAGTGAATCTAGCACCCACTGTAAGGTAATGACCCAGCACCCGGCAGCTATTCCAAATAGGTACTTAAGAGTTCGTTGGGCATGGAGACCAGATTCAGTCTTCACTACCACATGAGTGACGCTGGTATCCCACAACCTCTTAACACTTGAGCCAGGGCTAGCCAACTTGTTCACTAGATCTTGAACTTTACCCATTTCTGAGGCGGTTAAACCAGTACACACCAGCTGTGGAGGTCCTCTGGTACTAACTCGTGTTGTGCTTGATGCTGGCCTGAAAATTTAGCAAAAATTCACTACAGTATAGCAATGCTATGTGTAACATATTAAATGCTGTGTTTGTGGTAACCTGACTGACATTAAGAAAGAAAATACTTAAATTCTCTTGTTTTTTGAGAGAAAGAGGATGCATATATATACTCAAATTGTTTTCTTTCCTGAAAGATTCTGCAATGGCAAGTTGACAGACATTTACATTAATTTTTCAGAAAAAACCTAGGGAATGGAAGGTGTACATAAAATACAACTGAATGTAGCCATGGAGTTAAAATAATATTAATAAAAAATTAAGTAGGTAAAATAAATGAAGGGATTAAAGATATAATAAACTAAGAAGACTGAATTAAAAGAAAAATAAATGGAGATAAAAACACAAGTGCAAGTGATTAGAGACTACCAGTTAAATGTTCTTCATAATGGATACAACAGATGATCATATTTCACTGACAACAGCAGGTGACAGGAATACTGAACATTCTACGAACAACGTGGTGTGGCAGATATCACTTGAAAGAAATACTGTAATGCACAAGTAAAGGGAGAAAACCCATAGAAATTTGGGATAATTGTAGTGTTACAACAGACACATTTATGAAAACAGTGGAGCTGTAAAACAATGTTCATTTTAATTTTCATCAACAAGGAAACAATGCATTAATTTACCGATGTCTGGATGTTACTACAGTACTTACTTTTGTGATATAATCGGATCATTACTTGGTGGCAACTTTGGTTCATTAGACACAGTTAATTCAGGAAGGCTGGTGAAGAGTTCTTCTGACTCCTCACCACTGTCATCTGCCAGAGGACAAGTAGGTGACAGGACATCATTTGGGTCATCATCTGATGGGAGACATAAGACAACTTAAAAAAATTTTCATCAAGTTTTCGCTCAATAACCAAATCAATCGGGAATCCTACTTAGTTGTACACTCACCCCAAAAGGTATCTTTACGGAGGAGACTGATGAATTTCAAAATGAACACCGCGACTCCTGTTGTCTAAGTAGGGTTGTCAAAATCCTTCATCCGTTGTGTGAGTGTCTCACAAAATCATAAAGATATTTTTTAGAGCGAGTGTACATCTATTCCATATTTTATAAACTACAAAATTTTGCGCACACACACACACAAACCTTCTTCAACGACATCCTTCTTCTTCATGGCAGCTTCCAGTTCTCGGACTTTTGCCTTGAGCATTTCGACTTCGTCCTGTAAAACAAGAGTCTCATGTGAACCAGGGAATGAACCTCTATTATTCATTGTAAATGCACAATATTTCAGCTGAATTTTGGATAAAATGGACTTTTATAGACAGGCTTGGAAACTGACCCACCATTTACAGTATAACATTGTGTCTCAGACTACTATACATGTATTAGAGTTGTGAGTGCCAAACAAATGACTTATGAATTATTATTATTATTATTTTTTTAATGTACAGTCGACCCTCGTTAATTCGGACCCCTTTAATCCGGATTTCGGATAATTCGGACGAAATCTGAACTAAGCGAGGAACCGTCAGTATCAAATTTCCGGTTCTGGGATTGTCCGATAGATGGCGCGCACCAGACCGCCAGTCATTGTTGACTTAGCGCCATATTCGAGTATCAGTGTTATGTTGCCCTGCAATTTTCGTTGATATTTCAGTGATTAAGCATCTTTTAGCCTTGTGTGTGACCCTTTCTGTGAACCAGAAACTGGAACTTATAAGGAAGTTAGAGGCTGGTGCTTCGGTGGCTAGAGTTTGTGACGAGTATGGTGTTAAAAAGCAAACAGTTTCGGACATACACAAGGCTAAGGACAAACTCACTGCATTTTCTTTTAAAAATAATGCAATATTATGCAAAATTAATCCTTAAATCGGTTAAATCGGACAATCGGCTAAAACGGACACCCTTCCCCCCCCCATTAGTCCGAATTAACGAGGGTCGACTGTACAGAAATACCTCGATTTATGCGGTTCTTGTTTACGCGTTTGGTCATTTACGTGGTACCTTGCCAGAACCGGGATGCCTGATTTACGCGGGTGAAGTATAATTTGTTTATTGACTGGAGATATTTGTTTTGGCTCATAAAATTCATACAAATTACCCAGACAGATTATAATTTGCATTGCTGGAATTCTTACAAGACGGTGATCATTTTAAATATAAACATCTTAACATTTGCATTGACATACAAATTTTAGATGTAATTTAAGGAGATCATGAAAATAAGCAAATATTTTATCTTTTGTGCAAAATATATGACGTTTACATTCAAAATATTCCCCGACCTGCAAGGAATCCAGAAATGTCAATTATATTATCCTAACTTTAGTCTGAGGTACTATTTATTACTAAAAATGTAAATACAGTCATGCACCGGTTAATGTCCTAGATAAGTTCTTGGAAACATGACGTTAACCGAAATGGACGTTGTCCGATCATCACAGAAACTTTGTATTTATACTTACGTGTATGTGGAATACTATATACGTACATACAGTGGTCCCTCGGTTAACGAGCACAATCAGTTCCAGCAGGTTGCTCGTTAACCGAAACCATTGTTTCAATGGGTTTTTGGGTAATTGGTTCCAGCTCACCGAAAATTGCCTAAATTCAACAAAAATGGTAGAAAAGTTCACTTACTTTGAGGTGTGTATGTAGAAGGCTCCTGGATGATGATGATGATGTGAATTTGAAGTGGGAGGTGGAGGAGGAGAAGGGAGAAGAGAAGGAAGTGGAGGTGGAGGAGAAGCATTTTACTGCTTCTTGGAAGGTGAGTCACCTTCCATGAAAATGTCAGGAACCTCTGGACTGACAAATTCTCCACCATGAACATCCTCTCTCCTTCTTGAAGTGGAAGGCTGAGGGCTAGCATCTTGTTCCCTCTGCCTTTTACTGAAGAAAGTTTCAATTGTGGTCTGTGGGGCATCTCTCCTCCTCATCATTAACTTAGGTTTAAAGAAGGAGACCATTGTGTCCTCAACATGACGCAACGTTAGTTTAGATTTTTCCACATCTGGGTGCTTTGAAGCCAGTTTCCTGAACTTCTTCCAGTGGTAAATCACATCTTTCAACTCTGAAGTTGACATATGGTCATCACTTTCCCTTTCCTCCTCATCATTGTCAGCCTCTAACATCTCATCCAGTTGCTTCAAGTCATCAGGAGTAAGTTCCTCCTCATGAGACATCACAAGCTCTTCCACATCCTTCTCCTCCACTTCAAGGCCCAATGACTGACCAATGGACACAATCTCCTGGTCCAACTCTGTGTCATCCTGAAATCCCTCAAAATCATGGACTACTGATGGCCACAGTGCTTTCCATGAAGAATTGAGGGATCTAGTGGAGACTTCTTGCCATGATGACACAATCAATTTTACAGCCTCCAGGATGTTGAATTGTGTCTTCCAGAACTGTGTCAGTGTTAGTTCAGGATCAGTGGAAGTTGTCTGATGACACCTCCTAAATATTTTCTTCATGTACAGCTTCTTAAAGTTGCTGATCACATTCTGGTCCATTGGCTGTATGATTGATGTAGTGTTGGGAGGCAAAAACAACACTTTCACAAAGTCAAATTGATACTCCAAAGTTCTGGCAAGTAGAGGGTCATGACCAGGTGCATTATCCATGAAGAGAAGAGCCTTTAAAGGGAGTTTATTGGTGGTTAGGTAGCTCTTGACAGAAGGGCAAAACACCTCAACAGCCCATTCATTAAAGAGCTGTCTTGTCACCCATGCCTTACATTTGGACTTCCAATAAACCAAGCTTTCCTCTTACCACTTTCTGTTGCTTGAACACCCTGGGGTTTTCAGAGTGGTAAACAAGCATAGGCTTCCGTCGAAAATCTCCTGAAGCATTGGCACCAAGCAATAGAGTGAGACAGTATTTCATGGGTTTATGCCCAGGTAAAGAGGCTTCATCTCTGGTGATGAATGTTCTTTTGGGCATCTTTTTCCAAAAACAGCCCAGTTTCGTCCACATTGGACACTTGCTGTGGAAGATAATTTTCTTCTTCCATCAGTTCTTTAAACTCCACTAAAAACTTTGCTGCTCCTTCCTTATCAGCACTAGCAGCCTCACCATGCCAAATAACACTGAAAATGCCACTTCTTTTCTAAAATTTTTTGAACCAGCCTTTGCTGGCCCGAAAATCTCCAAATTCTGTGCCTGAAGAACCAGGTTGATCTGTCTTTAAATGTTCGTAAATCTCCCTGGCTCTTTCACAAATGAATTCAGTAGAAACTGAATCACCTTTCATCTGTTTTTCCCTAATCCAGATGATAAGTAACCTCTCTGTTTCTGCAATTAGGGATCTACTTTTAAACACTCTTGTAGATTTGTCTCTCACTTTCACTTCTTTAAATTTGTCTTTCTGTGCAAGAAATGTCGACACACTTGATGTCGACATGCCATATTCTTTGCATGGCGCATTTGTTCTAATGCCTTCTTCATGTTTCTTAATAATTTCCTGCTTGGTTTGGATTGAAATCGCTTTTCTTGATCTCTTAGGCCCCATGCTGGATTCAAACACTGTCAACACCTGGTTTTTAAAGTTTAAACTTGCTGTAAATAATGAATATTTTATTTAAAATAACACTGCACTAGGCTATATATTGTCAATATGTAAAATAAATTTCAAAATTACCAATAATTTGCTTGGAAACAGAAAAAAAGCGTTTAGTTAAAGAGAGTCTCAAGCAAGATGTTACCTCCACTGAAAACACAGAGAGACTAACTCTTGTTTGGTGTGTTAACAAGTTGGATGGCACGCCAGAAACTGTTTCTTTATTTTCAATAATTGTTAAAATGACTAAAAAATTTAATATTAAACTTTTAAAATTATTGAATAGTATAAACTTCTTGATATTTTCTAAAATAGTAAGGAATTTAAGTCCTAGAACCGATTACTGTATTGGCGGACTAATACTACAGCTGGTTGACCGCCAAGTGCAAGTGAAAACATGTTCAGGTCGGCTCGTAAGAAACTCGTGAATCGAGGGATTGCTCATTAACCGAAGTTAAGAATCTTATGGGAGGTAACTCGTTAATAGAAATCTCGCTAACCGAGGGACCACTGTATGTTATGACGACCCCTGAAAGCTCTCTCCTCCAGGAACACAGCCCGGGCATTCAATGGGGGTAGTATTGTACTTACTGTATATGAGAGGTTCAAAATACACTAGTACAGTATGGTGTTTATTGTTTTACATGTTCATCAGTATTAATTTTCAAATACACTATGTCACTATTGTAAGACTCCCAGGTAAATGATTTTTGTATTTCCACAATTCTACTATAACATATTTGTAGTACAGGTATGTATTATTGAAGAAATAAATAAATACAAATTCTACTAAAGATATAATTTAAAATTACCTTAACCTGGTTTTGCTTCTGTGTACTTATGGCTTCACTCTGGTTGGAGTACACACTGCTGTGACTGACATTGTCTACTTCATTCTCATGCTCCTCATCTGACTCCTCAATTATTTTCACTGGTTGCCCATCTGCACACAGCAAAACTCAATTAATAAATAGTTCCATGGGTTAAAGCTATTAGAGTATTAGTAACTAAAGGTCTGAAAATGGACACTAACCAAAATGGCTAGAAAGAACAGATGCCATAGTAACAAGACTAAACAATGATAAAAGACATTCTGTACCGGGGTCAGTTAAGGTAAAGTACATCACTAGGGGGTTGGGGCTGATATATCAAATCCTACTTCTTGTCATCATGTGAAGGTCTGGAGGGGCTTATGGCATCCTAGTTAAATGAAAAAAATTTCTTTACTCCAATTAACTTAAGAATGGAGGAAGCTTAATGGATGAATAGAACTGTTCTATTATCCAAGTAAGAAGTGGAAATGGATTAAACTATTAGTTACATTAATGTGACAGATAAATGGCAAGAAAAAATAAAACACTTTTGCTAGCCATACAGGTGATGTGTACAGAAGAATGTGCAATTATCTGTTTAGTTATGTAATGGGGAATTTCATGTGTTTTAATATAAAGTAATAAATTATGTACCGTATATGTGTTAACAGTAATGTATTTTAAAGTTTAGATTATCTCATCTACTTCATATAAACAGAATTAAGAAGACAGTATGTAATACAATACACAGAACTTACATGTAAATATATAACATTACATTTAAATATCCCTGACATGGTCTTGTTTTTTGACCTGTTGACCACACACACACACACACGAGCAATGGGCTTAAACATATCCCCTAAAGCAACCTCATAGTAATGTTTGGTGAAGGTAAGGATGTGTAGAGCAAATGTTAAGAGACAAAGACACAGTGACATCCCATTACTCCATCACTTACCTTGGATATCTGCCTTATCAGATGGTGACTTCTTGCCAGGTTTCTTATCTCTGGATACTTCTGCTTTAGTACTATTTTGTTCTTCTAAAGGAATGTTCTTGTCCTTACATGTGGTGCTATTTTCATCTAATAAAGCTTCTGCCTTTGAAAGAGATTTATTCACTCTGGCAAACAGCATCTTTGTGCCTAGAGAGAGAGATGGTACATTAGCAGAGTGTAATGTGTCCTGTGACGATCCCAATGTGATTATTTCGAGATCTATTTTCTTTTTATTCTTACGCATTGATTTTATTAAATTCAAGTCTTGGTTGACATTTCGCAAAACTTCGGCTGTGCTGGGAATCTCCTCCTCATCAGAGGGTATTGTTAGTGTGGTTAGTGGAGCATCATCACTTTCAACCACACTTTTAATTTTTTGTGAATTTACATCTTCAATGCTGGTGTGGGAATTTTGGTCGTCATCTTTCTTATCCATGAGGTCCTCATCAGGATGTCCGAAAAACTCCCAGACATTCTGATCAAGTCTTTCCAGGTCTCGCATCTCTTCGGAATCCAAAGGAAAAAGTTCTGGTTTTTCAAATTTGGTTTTCTGTGACTTCTGGACAGCAGAGGAGTTACTGCTGCTGGTTGAGATAATTTTTGGTTTACGCTTTGGTGGATTCATGATTACTTCTGTGTCACTTTCCTCAGAACTGGAATCGGAGTTCGTTGGCATACGAATCCTTTTAAATCTCCGGTTTGATGAATCTAAGTTGTCTATACAGGGACTGTCATCACCCGAGTTGTCTGGATCTCTGTTTTCTACAGAGCCTAATGTTAATAGGTCATCTTTTTTACCTTTAGTATTTGATCGGTCTGATGAATCTGTGGAGAACAAAAGCTTACTATTAGTAGCTTTGTTCTGAGAGTTAACTGTTTTTTGGCTCTCCTGAGATCTTTGAACTGGAGTTAACTCATCCTTTTCAATAGGTGGAATCTTTCCATCTTTTGAAACCTGTGACATAATGTTTTCCAACACAGGTTGACCTGACTGCAGTGGTTTTCTTCTTGGTCTATTGATGGTTGGCTGCAAGTTACCTGTGTTCTTTAGATTTTCTTTTTCAACCTCCACCAGTTCCTCATCATTTATTACTGTCCTTGGTAGCATTCCCCTTTCTTTGGTTTTCTGGGCCCCCTGTGTTCGTCTCTCGGTCCTCTCCGCTGGCTTCTCATCCATTTTTACATTTTCGCTTGAGAGACTTGAAATTCTGGCAGCTCGGGTTAATTTGTTTTCACTTATATCGGCGACTGCCAACAAACTTGTTGACTGCTGGCTCTCTGTGTTCTGATTTAGATTTGCAGATGAACTTTCAATGTAGCTTGTCAACCTTTTCAGGGCACATTTGTCAAGTGGTATTTCTGAGGATGGGGAGCTCGACTGAGCTGGTGTTTGGCCATTACTTGAATCTTCAACCCTTGTTTGTGTGTCTGTTGATTTTTTACTCTTATTTGATCCTTTCTTATCTATGTTTAAGTTCAGCTCACTATTTTCAGCTACTTGCTCAGTAAGAGTATTTGTAGATTGAAAATTCTTCCTGGTACAGGTTTTGATTCCAATATTAACAGGGAATGAAAGTGCTACCTCCATGTCCTCAGTACAGCAGCTGCCCGGCACCATTTCACTACCATATAATACCTGGGTTTCCTCAAGAAGGTGACTCTCAGGTTCTACATTTTTCTTCTCAGAAGCAGCAGATTCTGACAATGTCTGAGCCTCTGCTTCACACTGTTGTGGTGTGAGCTTATCATTTGGATTACCCTCTTCATCACCACAACTGTTGGCTGCTGCTTGCAAGTCAGTTTGCATGACCGCTTTCTCTGTCTTGGAGACCACAGTGCCACTGCAACATTTTCTGTGAAAAAAATAAAATAAAATAAAAAATAAAATAAATAAAAAAATAAAAAAATTGAGAATACAGGTCTTGAAATAAATTTTTGTTTTCACTCTTCCAAGTCTTTTCTTATTACTGCAGGAATCAGGTGCAAACACAGACACTCTTCATTTCCTGCCATTCATATGCTCTTCATGCTGTAACAGATTATCTTGCCCTTCAATAACAAGGCCACAAAATATCTAACTGGTTTATCAGTGTCACTCCATACAACTTAACATCTCCCATGAACAGGACTCCCATCCCCATAAGCACCACATTATCCTGCCCTTAATGCACACTGTTGCTCCTTGGATGTTGATCACATCATTAGTGAGTTGTTCACCCCTTCCTTCTAAGTCTTCCCCACTTCCTCCTATTACCCACCTCTGAATTATGCACTTCTATTTGCTTTCTTACACTTGATGTTCACAAACATCCACAGCCCATTTTCATTTCCTTTCCTAAAGCCATAACCTCTACACTCTAGCTTATCCTCATCATCCTGTCGATCACAACCTTCTCTCCAGGTGGTACCCGTCTGACTACCAGTAGTTGTATTAGCTCATCCCGCCTCCCTAAAGGATGAGGAAAGGAGGGAACAGTATGAAGTTTGTTCCCCTTCACGTCCTCCATCTTGCTCTTTTGTTTTACTCACCTTGTGGATACAGACCTACTCCCTTACAAGAAATATTGGACAATAAAGCCATGAGAAGTATACTAACCCATGTTCCTCTTTCTGTGTGACCAAAAGAGCCATATATTTCATGAGGACTTGATAAACTTCACACGGGACTTGATGAAGACAAAAGTCACGGCCAAGACCTCCGGCAGATGTTACAAGACTGGCATCACCAGCTGCTACACCACACCTGTTAACAATGAATGGTTTTTAAAACTACAAGGTCATAGCTTTGAACAGGGTTTCCTCTCTCTCTCTCTGTCACATTACACATCCATCTCACCATTCTCATTAAAGTTCATTCAAGACTATAAATGTCATGTTCTTTAGCTGTACCATTCACTGCTATACAACAACACACTTCTTATGCTGTCTACATAAAATTTTCCTTTTAAGTGAAGAGAGGGTCCTGTTGCATGCCAATATACAGTAGGCTACAGCTTCATCAACTTCTTCCAGCCACTTTTGATTCTTGCACCTGAGCTCCATCCCCAGGACCAATCACATTACTCAAGAAGCAGAACTCATCAACACAAGTCAGATCATATAATTACCTGAACATTGAGCACACTTAAGTCAGCAACATCGTTCAGTCAGCCATTTACACCACTACACCTCTTGTGTACCCACCTTCCACACTCACTGCACATTACTGACACTGTCCACTCTCCACCACAGGTCCTTCACTCACACTAGTGATTATGATACTGCCATTACAAATCATTTTATGGACAAAAGAATTTCAAGCTTAAATATTTAAAATCATTGACTTATGCAAGAAGAAAGACTTTATGATAACAAGAGGCATCTAATAAGTTGGGAAAGCTCAGCACATTTTATAAAACACCTACAATCATGATATAACTAATGGCATATTTGATATGAGATGAGTATAGTAAGAGTTGTTTTAATAACAGACCTTTCTGAGCAGAGTGACCCCATAGATTTAAATGGGACCAATCGTGATCCATGGATGACTTGGGAATCAGTGCTGGAATTCTTCGATGATGACAAGCATGATGGAGAAGTTTGGGACGTTTTAAAAGACATGTTTCTTTGAAGTGGGTCGTCACTTTTGGGGAATAAAAATGTCTTGGATGATGAACCTGGTGTGGAACTTGGGCTCATGGCATGGTGGGGTGGGCGTGGTTTACTCATAACTGTCGAACTTGAAGCCGAGGTTGTCACAACTTTCCTGAGTGGCTCGACACTATTACTCTGCACGTCCGATATTTCCTTAAGATCTTCTACGAGAGAAAAACTAACACAAGGCGGTTTAACACTCGGTGGTTTACCTGCTGACTCACAATCACTGTTCAAGACACTTAGATCTTGTGTGTTAGCTGTCAGTGAAAATGTCCTCCTACTTGGTAAACTTGAGTCTTTCTCCTCATTTTCCACCAAATTATCGTTTTGATCTTCACACTTTGTTGGGATGGAGTCATCTTTCTTACTATTTGTCAACAGTGATTGTAATGAAAACTTTACTGAAGTCCTTGAGGAAATGATGTTATATGATACATTACCTTCCACTTGTTCATCAGTACAAAATGGTTCTGTTTCACTACATTGAACCTCTGGGAGGTTTGTGGACTGTGGCTTATCAATTTTATTATCCTTTGTGTTTTTATCTGACTGTAAAATCTGTGATGTTTGTGGATTCTTATCATGTTCAATATTTTCCCTACAAGAAATCTCTCTCGTTTTTTCAGTTTTCTTTAATTTTGTCTGTGCCTTTTTATTCTCTTCCTCCAGTCGCATTTGAGACACGATATTTTTCAGTTTCTTCACTCGTTCCGTCTTACTATGAGATGACGAGAGATGCTCAACGTCAAACTGCTGAGTTTCCTCATCAATTGTCACGTCTGTCTCTTGTGAGGATGTTATTGTGTTTACTGAATGCCCACAGGTTCCTCCATCGGTTCTGGAGTCATTCATGCTCCGCTGTTCACCTCCAGTTATGTTGAGGCTTGTCTGTCGAATTTTCAGATCTTTGCGGGCGCCCTCAACATGTGACCAGCCAGGAGACTTGGCATTTTTCACATTAACTAAGACAGCAACAGTTTTATTAGTGTCTATAAATTTAGACTTCATTTCTGAGGCATAACGGACATTATGGGAACTTGTACACCCAGTGGTGTTATTAGTAAGTATTTTCCCAGACGATCTGGTTGATACTGAAGGTGTTGACTCTTGGCATGTATGGGGTTCATTCTGTTCTACCGAGGTATTAGCATTAAATCTTACCTTTCTGTTTCTTGTGGGCACTTTTGGCGGAGGCATAACATTCTCACCTTTAGAAACTTTTGAAGGGATAGTTTTATTAATTTGGGTATTTTCAAAAGTTTGTTCCATGAATGAAATATTCTCTCTTAGAAGGCTTTCTCTCTCTTTTATTCTCTTCTGTTTGTTCAGTTCTTCTTCTTTTGTGAACACAGTGTTAAGTTCAAACTGTTCAATATCTTCAAACATGGAGCACAAAGCTTCCACCTCCTTCTGAGCTTTTTCTGCTTTAGACCTTTTGTTCCTGGCAGTTTGTGATCTATTGCTGCTGCTGCTGCTGGAACTACCTTCAACATCTGAGATAGTTTGCTTCTTTTTGGTTTTCTTATTTCCTTCATTTACACCAACGGTATCTTCATTAGGTCGCTTTTTCCCCCCTTTCTTGACTTCAGCCTTAGTGCCGGTAGTTACATCCACTGCTGCTGATACTCTGCCACCTTCGGCAGGTGTTACAAAAATGAGATTAGCTTCCTTGTCCTCTTCTATTATGTTGTTACACAGAGGGTCAGCAACCTGGCTGGAATTACAGGTTTTGTTCTCTTTTACATCTGACACAAGAACATCAAACTCATTCTCTGTGTTAACGGGACAGCTATCGGGTATGTCATGGTGGTCGTCGTCGTCGTCGTCATGATTCGACATGATAACAGAATCTATTTGTTTCTTTCCTGCGAAATTGATGGTTATTTTTGGTGGTTTAATGACGCTAAGGTTGACATTCTGTTTAAGTTTTGCTCCTTTAGTGACGGGTGTACTCTGCTTCTGGTACGTTAAATTAACACTCATGCTCGTACTAATAATCGAGTCATCTATCCTATCAAATCCTTCTGGTCTGATTGGAGTGCCCTGACCTCTGCCCCGACCTCTTACTCGTCCGCGGGTCATGGAAAGAGCTCCTCTTGCTCTTGATTTAACTCCTCGGCCACGTTTTGGAGCAATTTTTGTGTTCTTTGGTGTCCTCTGGCTGGGAATAAAATTATAAGGATCACTTGGAGTACCAGTCATATATTCAGCTGGATTAAATATCTGAGTTTCCACATCATCCTGAGATTCAACAACTGGGCTGATCTTACCATCCTTGGACTTAAAAAACTTCTTTGATCCAATGAATGAGGTTGTTATGCTTCCTTTACTTTTTGGGGTTGAAGATGAACAAGACTCTTTATTGGTATGTATAGACTTTTTAATAGATGTGTCTGAGCTCGACTTGTTCTCCATTAGTGTCTGTGCAGAAGATTGGAGATCCTTTCCAACATCTTTTTCAGGGGGTATATAATACTGAGTAGATTCTGAATCAGATTTTAAGAGTGAATCACTCGAGTGAGAGGCTCCAATGCGGAAACCGACTTCACTGCTGGTGTGAAGCCATTTGGCAACCTTGTCTGTTGGTTTTTCTCGACCCAACTTTTCACTAAGATGTTGTGAAGATTCCTCAGTATAATTTAAAGATTCCCCTGGAAAAACTATTGTATTTTCAATTTGTTGACTCACCGACAAAAGATCACCCCCAGTCTTGGTATTTATTTCTTTTTTCCCCAAGTAAGTGGCAATGGGCCTTCTGCTATTTCTAGCAGATTTTCCAATAAGAGATGAGTGGCCTCCTCTTGTACCACCTCCTGTTAACCTCCCCCTTCCCCGCAACACCACACCACCACCACGAGCCCCCTTGCCTCGAGTGAGGGACGGTATCAAACTTTTTCTCTCCAAAGGTTCCTGTTTAGTGGGGGATGAGTAGGAATGTTCTTGGGATATAACATCTACAATCACACGCTCGATACAGTCACTGATTCCAGCGTCTGCTCTCTGTGTCTGAGGCTTTCCATCTGTGTGAAGACTCAATTCTGCAAATAATAGAAAATAATTTATAAAGTTGTTTAGCAATCATAACAAATATATTCAAAGTAAAATTAGAAATATGCAGTAATCCCTTATTAACCAAGGGTTTACCAACTATGGTTTTGAGACTCCTTGTTTTATATTTTCTACATTTTTACCAACCAAGGTATACAGCTTTATAAGTTTAAGCCAGTTTCCATGGCCACCACAGGAGACGTCTCACCCAATACGGTGGGAATGTTTGCTGGATTTGTGTAGTTTGTATAAAATGACAACCTGTTATCACCTCCCACGCTTGATGTCAGGTGCTGAAAATGCTCTGGGCAGGCGCACTTTGATCAAAAGCTAACTAAAACAAACATAACCTAACCTACAATGACCTAACAGAACCTAATCATTTATTCCAAAGGGTAATATCAGCACGTTTCAAGCTTTTAATGATGTTTTGATAAAACTACACATGCCCAGACCGGCAATT